CCGGGGTGGCTTGTGCCGGAGCGCTGCCTGCTGCCCTGCCATGCTTTATTGGCTGTTTTCAATTGAGTATATGGCTATGTGGTTTTTTTTCCTCACTCTTTTTGTATTTTTGTGTTTCAGAATGACACAGTGACCATCAGAACTAGGAAGTTCATGACAAACAGACTGCTTCAGCGTAAGCAAATGGTAAGCATATGTTGATAAGTGCCTGTAGTTTCATATGACTTGGTTCTGGTATGTTAGTATTCTTTAGTTACTGTCCATAAAGGTGTCTCAATCTCTGGCTTTTTAGAGATCTCATTGTAAGAGCATGTATATTAAAGTGTATTGATGCATGCTGAAGATGAATATGAACGGCACAGTAAGGGTTTGGTTTGTCATTTGAAACATTATGTGGCTGTGAAGAGCTTTGTTTCAAATTAATAATCCTTTTTGCTGCTGAGGTGGGCTATTTAAGTGCTAAGCGTGCTGGTAATTGGACTGTAAAGTCTGGTAACTAGAATGTACGTTGATCTGTTCTTTCTTTTCTGTAACTTGTAAAAATGTATTCTTAGGTGATTGATGTTCTTCATCCTGGGAAGGCCACAGTCCCCAAAACAGAAATTAGGGAAAAGCTGGCAAAAATGTACAAGACAACCCCTGATGTAATTTTCGTCTTTGGCTTCAGAACTCACTTTGGTGGTGGAAAGACAACAGGTTTTGGTATGATCTATGATTCCCTGGACTATGCCAAGAAAAATGAACCAAAGCACAGGCTGGCCAGGGTAGGTTTTCTTTTTGTTTTCTAGTAACCTCAAAACGATGAGGATGGCCTTAGTGTTTTGGGGGTTCACAGTTTAAATCTGTAAAATAGACTTTTCTGGAAGTAGTGCTATATGGACGTGAAACTTGAAGTGTTGTGCGAAGAGTTTTGAGGTAAAATTGGTTAGGAAGTGCATTTGCAGAATAGGATAAGCTTTTTATGGCATATTTTTGGAGATCTGGGAAAGGCCAAGTAGATGTTATTAGTTAAGCTTAGCGAACACTACTGAAGCCCTTGTAGGTACCAGTCCCATTTCTTGTACCTTAAAGATACAGATTATTACACACTGTTGTATTCAAGTTACCTCACTACTTAACTAGTATTTCAAATTTAAATCTTATTTGAAGAGCTTAGAAATAATGAAGTAACTTACTTCAGAAAAAACTAAGTTCATAAGGGAGCATCAGTAAACGATATTAAATAAACATTTGATTTTTTTTTTTTTCTTAATAGCATGGTCTGTATGAAAAGAAGAAAACTTCTAGGAAACAGCGAAAGGAGCGTAAGAACAGAATGAAGAAAGTCAGGGGCACGGCCAAGGCAAATGTTGGTGCTGGCAAGAAGGTAGGATAAGAGTATCTGTAAGCTAGAGTGTGGATGTTGCCTTTAAAACGTTGATTAGAAGTTCTTCAACAGAATAACATTGTGTTTCTTCCCATTTCTTTCACCTGTCTACTGGATAACAGAAGGTAATCTGTGTGGTGATGTATAGCTTACTGTTGGCTCAGTAGCTTAGTTTAGCTCCTTGTTGCTGCAGCTTAGCTGGTGTAACATGAAACAGCACTTCTGAAATGATTTTCTTATGTATCAGTTCTCAAATTGAAATTAAATGTTCTTAAATTTAATCAAAGCATTGCTCTAACCTCATAACTCAGTCACGCAAATGTATGAATCTGATGCACTTCTTTAACACTTGTTACTCGGACTACCTGAATATCTAACACTTTTATCCCAGCAAGTTACGGTGTTCCTTGTGGTGCCATAGAGGAGATTCTCTTAAGGATGTATAGTGCTGTAGGTTTGTGTGCAAGTTAGAAACCGTATAAAGTAGGTATTCTACCTTATTTTAAGTGACTGATTTCTGGGTTGTGGGGCTTCTGTTCTGGTGGGAGTTACCATTCTGTGTTTGGAACTTGGTAGAGACTTGACAAGCATCCACTTTGGAGGGAGTTTGACTTCCTTTCATTTAAAAAAAAAAAAAAGAGCTGAGGAAGAACACAGTAATAGCTAGTATCTTCACCAGCAGCAGCTGAGCTTTCTGCATTCTGGAAAAAAATTGAGTAAGCTTTGCAACTAAGTGGGTTCTTAAGGACTCTTAATAAAGAAAGAGAGGGTGATGGGTTTTGAGATCTACTTCTGTAGCTGCTATAAATTGCTTTAACATCTTGAACTTTAGTAATCTTCACTTTTTGCTTTTTTCTACTTTCTTGGAATTCTTCATCAGAAATGAAGTATCTAGCAGGTACTGAAAAAATAAGCATGTATGTGGTGACTGATTTGATATTTCAGTGAAACACTTGATCCATCCTTTTAATGGAAGCACTGTACTGCTTTGCCTGCCTACACGTTTGCATTAAACTAACTTCTGCTCTGTAAGGGTCCAGATAACTACATAAATCAGCTTTATTCTATATAACTTAAAAGTAAAATTTCTTTGTCTGATAGCAAACGAGACTGTCGATATTATTGAAACAGCATTAAAATAAGGAGGCTCTAGTGTGAGGAAAGCTGATAAACTAAATGGCATTATTTGAGGCGTTGGGTCAAAACCCCACAGATCCTGGTTCAAAGCAGTACAGTGCAATTGCATGTGTAACTTTGTTTTCATGAAGATGCATAACTACTTCAGTAAAGGTAAAGTCATACAACAGCTTAGTGCGTTTGAGATGGTTGTTGGACATGAAACAACTATCAGCTTTTAACTCTTAACTTTTGACCTGAAGAATTCTAAATTTTAAGGCACAAATTGCAGTGATTGGTCTATGAAGTTAGGTTCTCCGCACTTGCGAATAATACAGACTTCACTTATAGTTGGATGGAAATAACTAATATTACTGCTACCTACTAGATAAGATTCAAAACCTTTCCCTTCTACTTTGCTCCTGTTCTAATAATGAAATTTTACAACTCTTTACAGTGTAACAGTGGAAATAAGCATTTACTGTAGCAGTAACACTGTAACATGCACCCTGTTGTGCATGACAAGGGAATCATTTAGCGTTGCACTGATAATGATACAGATGAAGTTCTTCCCTTCAAGAATTTTTTTTACTTGAAGGTAGCTGCCATTGACTTTTATAGTCTCCCCTTATCAAAGCATGAAGTGACTGTCACTTACTACTGTGGTCCAGCTCATCTAAATTCTCTTGACTGTGGTCCATTTCATATGAATTCTCTCAACTTCTAAAAGGTTTTTATGCTTTAAGACTAGGGTTGTGTGCTGTGATAATGGCACAACAGATGAGACTTCTGTGCCAAGCATACTTCAAACTAGTATGCCACCTCAGAGAGCTGTTTTAGGTTAGAAGTTCCTTGATTTGCTTAAATGATCTTTTAGTTAGCAAGTATATGTAGGTTAGAAGTTATTTGTTAATTCTGGTGTCTTTGCATAAAGCTTAAATAAAAGACAAATTAATTGGCTGGCTTCCTGGAGAACTTGGGTGTGAAGAGTTTTAAACTGCCTCACAGAAATAAGCTTGCAGAATACACTCCGATTTTAAAGCTTTGTTTTGAAAAATGCATGCTTGAACATAATGGAATGGCATGGTACAGCGTTGTTTCTCACAGCCACCTGCAGGAATCTTAAAGCAATCAAGATATGTTTTGGTGTCTACCTACATCTGACAGAAGTGTTTACCTCATAAGTATGTAGTCACTTGATTGAGACCTGTTCAGGCAAGTTTGTATAGATCTAAGGCTACCCTGTGATCATGGAAACTGTTGGCATGCTGAGCCATATTTGGATTGTTTGTTCTACATGGCAGCGCTTATGTTGTAATGTTTGACTGCCACTAGTTTTATTTAGGTTTTTTTTCCACTTTCCACTCCTTCAGAATTCCCATTCTTTTAATAGGCTTCTCTTGGACCTGCAGGAGAAAATCTTGTCTAGCGCTTTCTCCTGTGGTTAGGTGGACTTGCGTAAAAGTTCATGACAAGTAGTTGTGAGAAGTACCTCATGAGCCTCCTGCTTGCTTTTGGAGCAGTGACCTCTATGATCACTGCTGTTGTGACAGGCTTTGACATGTTAGTCTTTCAAGTGAGTAGAAATATACTTTTTAAAACAAATGTGATCCAAATGGGAAACATGGATCCACCCTTGAAACAATAGTGGCCTGTAGATACAAGTGAACATTCAATTGCATTTTGAGTATTGTAGAGCTCTATGCTGCTGTGGTCAGCTCCCACTTCAAGTTTGAGGAATGCATGAAATCTAAGTTTTTAGCCTTACGGTAGTTTTCCATGAGTTCTTCAATTAGCACACTGAAACATGACAGGAAAAGGCCTATTATTAGTGTGTCCTCCGAAGCTAAATCTTCTACTGTAATAGAACTTGGGTAAGACTATTCTTTTGTCAATTAATTTTTTTTCTTTTGTTTTAGTAAATGAACATTCTTCAGATGGAAAATGGATAACAGGTGAGACTTTCAAATGCTTTGTTAGACTGGACGTTCGGTAGGACGTAGTTATGACCTGGGTCTACCCTTGATTCATCCAAAGGCCATTAGATGTATTCTGAAACAGAACTCAGTGCAGAGTTTAAGACTAAAGAACAATTAAACATTTACAAATAACTGTTGTGCTTGCTCTGGAGTTGCGAATTTGTGACTTACAGTCCTTGGACGAAATAGCAGACTAGTGCAAAGACCGAAGAAAAAATCGGGCAGTTCTCAGATTTACTGTTGCTTAAACTATTGATTTAGTCTGTTATTGTAAACAAGGATTAAATTTACCTTTCAAATGGTGTCAGTATCCTATGGATAGGGTAGCATGCATCCTTTTTTTTTGTCTTAAATAGATTGAAGTTGTTTCTCTTCTGGTTTAGAGACTATTTTGTATAGTCTCTCTATATAGACACTTTATATAGTCTCAGTATTTATTTCAAGGAAACTGTACAAACCTGATACCCTTTTAGACAAGTCCTTAAATATATTTTTATATCTCTGCTACAGAAACATAAATTGTTTAGAGGTTGTGGGCAGAAACAGTTACAGACAAAAATCTGATTTTATTACAAATAGTCGGTGACTCATTTTTAACTAATTTAAATGGTCTGGGAGCTGATGAACTGAGTGTAGTCTCTTAAGCAGAAGGCTGACATCATTTGTAGCTTGTTGATTCTACAAAAATGCTGTGATTTAGGCTATTGCCAAGACCCATGACAGTATTGTGAAATTGAGCCTTATCTTTGAAGAAAGGCCATGTGGTCGACCTGTCCAGTTTGGGAACTCTTATTCAGGCCCTGTAAAGTCTTAAGTGTAAAAATGTTAGTTTTGCTTGTTGTATAGAGCTGATCTTTCTTTTTCTTTACAGACTAAATTATTCCGGAAAGAAGTGCAGAAAGAATTATTCTGGAAAGAAGCTGTTCATCTGGCTTTAACATCAAACAAACTATGTTAATAAAGTGTCTGTTTGCTCTTTAGTTTTGATTTGACTGCTACAATTTTTTAAAGGACAAGAAGTTAATTGGTGCATTGTTGCACTGTATTAAAACTCTTTCATAATTAAACAGCTCTGAGTATCATTTTTGAGTCTGTATCTAAATTTTATACTGGTAAAACTAAGTTCTATTTAGTGGAGATAGATATGACTTTATCATCTGACATTGAAACTGTAGTTTGGAAGGCCCTTAAGACCTGTGTCTTCAGTCTGGGTCTTGAACTAGTGAGTGCTATTGCCTGTATATATTTCAGCAGCATCACACAGACCATGAACTGTGTAGTGATGTTGCTATGTATCATGATACAGTGTCTGTGCCTGTACTGGGGTCAGTAACGAATTGATGTGGTACAAGGATAAGTACTGCAGGTTTTTTTCTTGTCATAGGTGAACTAACAAAGCTTGTCTAATGGAATGGAGAAGCAGGGAATAATTGCCTCTAAAATAGTTTTGATTCTGAATTTTTGTTGAAATTAAAAGGTTTCACTTTTACTTAGACAGGCCTTCAAAGATAGATGCCTATTTGATTTTCTTCTAAAAGGCTATAAGCAAGTTACCCTCTGTCAATACTGTGGAGCTGATTAAAAGTGAGATCTGTTGGATATTGCACATGCACTAAACTCTTAGGTCTGTTGGTATGTTTTGAATTAGTGGTGATACATTTGACTAGTGAAGAGGTTGTAAAGGTATATGGAATTTATTCACATTAGGCTTAGTTTTAGCTTAGAACTAGATTCTAAGCCTGTTTTAAGGTAATATCTGCATTAACCTCCTTTCCTCAGATAGTGTTCAAAACTGAAAGAGAATAGTCATATTATTAAATATAATTGTTCAATCACTAGGGGGTAGTGTGAACATAGCAATGCAAACACAAAGAGCTCTAGCTGTTTTTCACAAAACAGACTAGAAGGAAGCTGCAAAAGAGGTTAACTCTGTAAATATGCATTAAAAATGGTTGTGTTTAGGATCTGAGGCTTTGTGGTATGTTTCACTGTTTTTCTTTGAATTGAATGGAAACTGACTATCTTTCAGTGAGGACCGTGGTTAAATGTATTAAGTACTTAATGTTTACTTTTTTAAAAAAAAAAAGTTCTAGTGTATTAACACACATTCTAGCTCTTCTCAGAATCTTCCTTACCTTAGTTTTAAGCAGTAAACAATTTCTTAAGAAATAGGCTGACATAAAGCCAGCAGAATTATTTGCATAATTTGAGGGTTTTTTTGGCTTTACGGAAAGCCAAAAACTTGAGAAGGCATGTACCTCTTAAAGCAAAATGTAGTTCTGCAGTTAGAGTATTAAAGGTTCCCTCTGTTGTTTTAATGTCTTAGCTGCTTTTCATCCAGTTGCAGTTAGGAGGTACAGTAACTTTTCAAAGCAGGATGGATTGAAATATGCTATTTCATTGCTCAGTATCATAATAGCAGTATTTGGTGCTCATCTGTGGTGATTAGGTAAGTAGTTTTTGCTGGCAGTCTTAAGAGATTCAACAGAGCAATTGGTGTTTTTTTTTTTCCCCCCCTCCTTCCCCACACCCATTGCTATAGGGTTAGCTTATAACCATAAGTCATTCTCACCTCTTCCAAATGAGGCATTAGGAATGGAAAACAGGGAAGGGGATGACTTATTTTGAGTGACTTGAAGTTAACTTGGCAAATTAGATCACCCTATTACTTGAGCTTATTTTCCCCTCTTCTGCATTGTTTGATGTTGCTGTGGCTTTCCTGTACCCTTATCACTCCACCTGAAAAATGGCAAGCAACTGAATAGCTGTCATCTGAAGAGCTGATTGTATACCCTGGCAAATGAAAAACTCACATGACTACTGCTTCTTTCTACCAACGTTTTACCTTCATCTACTATAGTCTGAGCAATGTGTAGTTATGCTCTGTAACCCAAGAGTTCAATGTGCATTTCATGCTGTGATGAGACTTTAGGATAATCCCCTTTCCTGTAGGAGGTAAAGCCCTTAGGTGGAAGGCAAAATGAACAGGAGAATCTTTACTTCCTTCACCACTTTATACTGGATGTACCCTTGTATTTCCTGCTGATCTTGATGCATCCCATCTGTAGATGGTGATACAGTTACATAGATGATACAGTTTAAGCTACTGTTACCTGCTTCTGGGCATTGGCCAGAGTCTTACTTTTTTTCCGAAAGGCACAGGATTTCTTAAGGAGACTGTTTTCAACTTTTGGGCTCTAGATTGTAAAGTAAATACAAATTAGACAATGAAAAACTCCTATAAAATAAAACTCCAAATTAAACTGTGTGGGTCAGTAATCTCAAGCTGATCTAATAGGAAGATGTTTTTCATTTACTCTTGACCATTTTTTCATGGCTAGGATTTAAATTTTGAAAAAGGAGAACAGAAAAATATTGGTATTTTTAGAAGTGGTAGGAAATGGGTTGGTTTGGTAAGAAGGGCTCAAAACCATATAGCTAGGCTAGTGGGGTGATACAGGTCTTCCTGTGAAATGTTCTAAAAGCTGTGCGGAAGCCTCAAGGCTTGACTTAACTGAAATTGGATCAAATAGGGGGATTTCTTAGTGAGGTTCTGACTCTACATTCAGTTAGAGATATAAGGCGCAGCCAGATAAAGGCAGCCTCTGTCTTGAAGAGAGGGTAGCCTAGAAGACAAGGCAGATCAAAGCAAGATTTACCAGGGAAGCTGGCTGTGGAGAAGCCAAGGTTAGTGTTTTGGGGCTATAGGGGTGGGGGGTGAGAAAATAACCTTTAGCCAGATGAAGAGAGTAAAACTTCGCATCAACTGGTCAGTGAGAGTATTTTGTTTAGGGAGCAGCTTACAACAGGTGTGAAACCAAATGCTGAAAGAGAAATTGAGCTGATACTGTCAGTAGCTTGAAATGAGTGTGCCATAACTTGCTATGGAGAGATTGCAGTGCTAACAGGAAGAGAAAAAAGGATGATACAAGTTCTTTTCATTTACAAGACTATATATAAATAAATATAAAATATATTTTTATATTATATACAAAATACAGGTCACAATCAAATCTATTTGCAGCAGTCAGAATAAATCATGAATATGTTCATATTGTTGTGATCAGTTCCTGTACAAAATTAGTTTTAAATTCTGGAGTTTCCTACACAGGAAAGAGGTATACAACATTATGCTGTAGCAGCTGTTGGTACTAGATTCATACAATAGGTTCAGAGTTCCAGTTCTGAACAGTCCCTGCACAGGTGTTTGTATTTGGGCCAAACTAGATTTATTGACCTGTTTTGGCTCAATATATCAGTAGATATCTTAGTGGTGCTAAGAGAGCAGATGTGAGCAGTCCATGTTTCACCCTGAATGCTGTGAGAGTTTCAACTAAACGTGGGAACTGTCAAATACGGGTGCAAGCGCTTGTTTGTTCCATACACCATAGAAATAAGTTGCTTTTATGAATGTAGTTATTACAATGCTTTTAATAGAAAAGGTTTAAGTAAACCTTGACAAGACAAGGTCAGGACTAGGAACCTCCTAGTACATTAATGTTTTTGGACTCCCTTACTTTGAAAGGGATTGTACTGGAAACCAAGTCTTACACTGTCAGCTGGTAACATTTATGAATTCTACAGAGTTATCTTTTAAAAAAAAAAAAATGCGTTCCCCTGTGGATTTTCATTCTCATTTGGAATTCAGTAAGTTTCCTTTTAATTTCAGCCCTCACTTTCTATGAAGACTGTGGCTAATGAAACAGCTGCACAAGTGGCTAAAAGGCATCCTGAGCACTAGAAGATAATTGTGTTTTTTCCAAGAATTGGCCATCAGCAATCAGTACTATAGTTTTAAACAAAAAAAAAACACTCCATCTTCCTTTCCAGTTAACACTGTTCATACACAGAGATTCTGAGTAAGGTCAAGTAGTGAGCTGAGGCGGAAGTATGTTCAGCATATCTGTGACTTCTCTTAATATAATAGATGTTTTACAATCAGCCCCCCCCAAAAAAAAGTATGAATGCAGCACTTCGCTAGGCACAGATGATGATGGTTTGTACCTGTGTTCATTGGGTTAAAATACTGTTTGTTATCTAATGAAGCTGGCCAGACTTTAAACTGACCCGCATCAAGTGAAACATGCTTCACTGCCTTTCGTGATGATCTGATTTGATTGTACTGGAGCTACTACCCTACTATCATTTTTCGTCAATTTTTGCTAGCTGTTTGTTAAGCCAGACATCATTTGTGTTGATTTGATAACAGGTTTCAATCACAGATAATATAACTTTTCTACAACAGATGACCTCAGGTCTCTATCTCCCACACGTTGTTGGCTGTAAGTAGAAGACTGGGTCTGACACTTTCCTTTTCCAGTGTTTTCTGGCTGATTTAACAGTCACCATAAAAATCACAGTGAAAGTGGGTTAATATTGTTAAATTAAAAGAGGGGAAAAGTTGATGTTAAAATGTCAATGGTAGTTTTTACATAGTTCATTTCACTGTTTCCTTCAGAGTTTGACGGATCCACTACCGAGCAGAAGTGGAAAGAGAAGATTTTTTTTTTTTTTTTTTTTTTTTTTGGTTGGGGAGGGGGTTACGCTTGGGAGCTATTAGAACTCAGATTTCAAGTCTTTTTGTTAACTGATCAGATTTTGAGTTAATAGTTACGATTATTGAAGAAAGTAGTCAGGTTGATCTAGGCCCAGCCTAAGGCCTTTACAAAGGAAAGGGCTGAAATCTAAGAACACGGGATTGAGAGAAACTGCTCAAATCCCCACTCAGACAATTACTTCATGCAGGAATATGAAGAAACAAGTTTTTGATGAGTCAATTAAGATAAGAAGATTTTGCCTAGCATTGAACTCTATAGTATTTGCTTCTCAATACAGTGTTTTGATGCTGAGGCCCTGTACTAAGGCATAAACAAGAGAACACGTCATTATGTACAAATTGAGTTGTCCAGCGTTTGAGAAACACTGAAAAGCAAACATTTGGCATTAAACACAATAAATTAAATAGCCATCTAATTTTTTTTCATCTTTATTGAACAGGAAAATCTTCAAAGGCACATGTCTGCTAGTTGCCTTAGCAAGCAAACTTCAGAAAAATGCTCCTTTTAGTGTGATAGATGATTGC